ATCAGAGGTCGACCGGTCCTTGAAAGTATTTGATTCTTCCTGCTTGGCCCAAGGAAATCTAGCTAGAAACAAGGCTGTTGGCCATTCACTGGCCACGTCCTATTCCCATGGTGGGGGGACACGAGACTACGTAAGCCTTTGATCCCCTCCTCTCCCGTCATCGTGACCCAAGACAGGTATCATGGTGGGCAGATGATTGCATTTTTGATCATCTGTGGCAATTGCGATCTACTCGACCTTTAATGCAACCAGCTCTGTTCTGATTGCCCCCCGTTTTGCATCAGACTCTTACTGTATCGGCCGCCACCGCATGAAGCAGAAGCAAAAGTAGCGTCAGACTGTGACGCCTTTTGTAGATGCCGACCCTCCAACCCGTTTGGGCAATGCTGCACGAGATAAATTGGCGGACGTGCCTGTTTTTGTCATCAGGGGCATCCGCGGGAGCGACCGTCAATCATGGCGCATCTCGTGAATGAATGCAAACATGTTTATCCTCGCGCGCATGGTTCACTTCGTGGTCGTATACCAAACACGCAATTCTGCATCCGTGAGAGTGGCAACGACAACACGACCTGATTGTTGTGCGATGACAAGCTTCTGTCCTTGATTTCGTCTCATCTTCTGTCAAAAATTCGCATCGTGGATGAAGGCCCGTCCGTTTCAATGCCTCTAGCTCACTCAGCAGCAGCATTCAACATAGTCCATGGTTCACGCGTCACATATATGATATTACTTCCGTGAAAAGCAGCAATAATAAAACATCATGTCTACTTGATTTATCGTCTTTTACCATCCTAGTAGTCCCCCGCAGCATAATCGCCAGAACACCCATCCGTCGTAATGCTTTCTACGCATCGACATTCTCAAAAAAGAACGTCGGCACCCCAGGCACAGCATTCTCCGCGGCCGGCACCGTGATATCAACCTCCTTGCCGTCCACGAGGTTCACGCCCTTCTTGCCGCCTTCCTCGACCACCAGCACGTCACACTCCACCAGGCCGGCTGCCTTCTTCAAGCCAGGCAGCATCTGCGCCAGCGTCTCCTTTTCATCAAACGCAAGCTTTTGCTCCAAGACCACGCTGGGGGATTCGCCCGACTGCAGGCGCTTCTTCAGGGTCTGCGCAAAGGGCATCGCCTTTTTCATCTCGCCCATCTTGGCAATCTTTCCATTCAGCTCCTTGTCGTTGACGGACTTTGTGGCTGGATCCCACATTTCCTTCAGCAGGTCGATGTACTTGGCCTGCCAGGCCGGGAACTTGTCCGAGATGTAAATGGTCAGCTTCTTGGGGCGTTTGGGGTCGAAAGAGGTCTCCTTGCCCTTGGCCTTCTTCTTCAGCTGCAGGCCCTCGGCCGAGTTGATGTTGGATGCCGTGTTGCGCACGTAGTCTCGCTTGGCGGACAAGGCGGCGTCGACGGGAGGAACGCTGGGGAAGGTAGCGTCGTGGACGGTGCTGGGCTTCTTCAGCACCTCCAACCAAATGTATTCAGACCAGTGGGGGGCGATGACGGCCATCAGGAGGGCCTGCAGCTCGATGTACTTGAACACCAGGTCCTTGTGCATCTTGATGCCGCCGGCGGCGCAGGCCTCGCGGTAGAAGTCCCGGGCGCCTGTCAATTCGTACAGAGCGGCCTTGAGGGCCAGCTTGTAATTGGTCTGGGCGTATTGGTCAATGGCCTCGCGCGCGGCGCCGTTCATTTCGTTGTGGAAGAGGGCGTCTTGGAAGGTGTTGGTCTCGCCGGTGCGCAGGTCAGCTTCGTCTCTGACCATTTCTTCACACCACTCACGCAAGTTGAACAGGCGCAGAATGTTGTTGTCGGCAACATCTTCTTCGAAATTGGCATCAGATACACCGTCACCGGCGTCAGCAATGGCAATACGCGAGGCATCGGCGCCGTACTTTTCGACCAAGTCGCGCAGGGTCATGAAGTTACCGGTACTCTTGGCCATTTTCTCTCCATTGAGCATTAAGTGACCATTGGCTCGGATACCTCGTGGCCAGTATTCAGGTGGGAATATGGCCAAGTGAATGTACAAGAAGAAGGTCAAGTGGTTGGGAATCAAGTCTTTGCCGGAGCTTCGCACATCCAACGGGTAGAAGTATTCGAATTCACGGCGCATACTCTCCAGTGTGGCCTTGGGAATCTTGGATGAGTTCAAGATGTCTTCGCTCAAGTCGCGACGACAGAAGAGATAGTCCCAGACGTCGTCTGTCAGTTGTTCAGGAGCAATATTTCCGACACCCTTCTCACGCCCATACAGGTCCTTGTGCAACCAGTGGCACACGGTGTAGTAGGCCATGTAGATGGTGGAATCACTTAAACTCTCAACCAGGAAGTGGGGATCCCAGGGCAACTTGGATCCCAAGCCGTAGGTACGGGCGCAAGCCCACTGGTTCAACCAGTTTAAGACACCTTCGAAACTGTGCCTGGTCTCGGCGGTCCAAGTGTTCAAGCCCTTGCCATCGGCGTTCTCAACCCATTTCAGGGCAGTCTCTCTCCATTTCTCCTCACCGTAATCCAAATACCACTGGTCCATCAGAGCAACAATACAGTCATCTCCAGATCGAGAAACGACCTTTCGCTCAGGCTCCGAGTAGGCAAATCCGTCGCCGGCATCAATCAGCTGGGCGCGAACCTTGGGTTTGGCAGTCTCAACCTTTTCGCCCTTGAAGTCACCGACTTTCAAAATGCCCTGGTAGTAACCCTCCTTGTAAGACAATTCCTTGGCCTCTTCCAATTGCTTGGTGTCCTTGGGAGAAGCAATCTTCAACTTCTTGATCAAGAAAGGTGCGCACAAGTCACCATATGAAGGGGTTTCAATAATGGGGTAGATCTCCAACTCAGCCCATTCCTTCTTGATGCCGTAGTAGTCGGCCTTCTTGGCCAACTCGGTAACGGTGGCAAAGTCATCAGGACTGTCCGAGGGCACAGAAGTGACGACGCCAGTTCCCTTGGTGGGCAAAACAGTCTCCATCGGCAGGACACGAACGCCTTCCTTGTGGCATGACAGCGGTGCATGTACCAAAGTGCCGACCATGTCAGTGCCCTGGATTTCGCCGGCTTTCTCAACAACTCCCTCCTGGGCCAAGATGCCTTGGTACGCCATATTGCGAGCAGCTCTTTCAGTGACAACATAATATGAGTTCTCACCAGCTTTGAACAGACCGTACGTGATCTTAGGCCCAACAAAGCAGCAAGTCTGGCCATACATGGTCTCGGGTCTCAAAGTTGCCGGAACCAAGAAGATTTCAGCATTGTCAGGAACCTTGCCCTTGACAACCTCAGCAGCCTTGGGTGACCATTCCAAGACCTTCAACTTCAAGGCAGTATACTCCTGGGGACCGACCGCCTCTCCTTCGGCACGGTCGTGATCCATGCAAGGCTGCCCATCCTTGATAGAGTAGATGGTATATCTCTTTCCAAACTTGATCTTGTTCAGCTCCTTCAAGCGGTTCATTTGCCATCGGACAAAGGCATCATAGTAAGGATTCGCGTCAGTCGTGATAAAAGACCTGCGCCAGTCAATTCTGCAACCAAAGCTGGTCAAGTCTTGAATCGCCAGAGGAGGGAAGAACTTGAGCCAGTGTTGAGGATCAGCAAACTGATGAATCTCCTTTGTGGGGATGCCAATCGCCTGCATAATTTGGAATTGGTATTTCATCTTGGCGGTTTTGGCCTTGGTTTTGCTCTTATTGGTAGTGAACTTGGTGATATCCTCCTTGGTCTGGCTAACGGGTGCCGCGGCTGGTTTCTCGTCAGCAGCATCATCCTCTTCCTCGTTGTAGCCAGAGAAGTCCTCGCCAAACTTTCCAATCTCATTAATCAGCTTATCAGCGCAAGCCTTGATAGGCATGCCGGTGCAGTGGAAGCCCATGGGGAACAGAGCACGCTTGCCCTGCATTCTCGCAACACCAGCGGCAAACTCGACTTTACTGGCCGAGAATGTGTGGCCAGCATGCAGAGTACCATTCATGTAGGGATATGCCATGCATCCAAAGAATTTGGGAACCTTTTCTCGTAGCTCGGCGGCGGGGATTGAGTGCAGAGGCACTTCGGTGGTTGTAGGAGCGTCGACTTCGAAGATTTTGTCATCTTGCCATTTCTGTTGGTACTTTTTCTCGACGGCAATCAAGGAGTCTCTTTTTTCGGTCTGGCGGGGAAATTATCAGAACAAGTTCTTAGGAAAGTAAAGGACAAATGAGGCTCGCATACCCCTTTCAACTCTTTCGTCTTAGAAATAGACAAGGCCTCCATAGCCTTGGGCACGGAATTTGTAGCCATATTGGAGTCCTGCAGGTGATTTCGAGCTTGTCAGCATGAGACATAGTTTCGCATCTAACCGCCGAAAGCACAGTATTTATTCTTGTGGTGAGGATTCTCAATTTGACTCACTTGCAGGATAGGATCGCCCCTGCCTCACTCTTGTTCGTTTTCGCGGGCAATCTGGCAAAATCGCATGTATGTACTGTCCCAAGTGGAATTTTTTGAGTCACCGACGAAGTGGCCCTTTGGCCATGAGGAGGGGTGAAAATCGCGGGGCACCAGTGACGGCAGGCTGGGTGTGGCTGATTGACCAGCGCAGAGTTGAGCGGCGCCCTGGCCGCCGTTTTTCCGGGATTGATGCTTGCTGAGTGCCTGTGGCTGAATCCATGTTGGGTTTAGTGCCCTCGCCATTTTTACAACATTGAAGACTTAATTCGAGGTGGTGCTCGGCATAGGGTAGCCGCGGTCAGCACTCAAGTCAAGGCTCTACCTACTTAGAGGTAGTTAGGAAGGCTTTTCCACCGTGATGCCGAAGTAGGCAGCAGCCGTAGGCAGAAGTTCTGAACTTGGGGACGAAATCGTGAGTATAAATATCTCCGCAATCATAAGCTGCTCTCCCGGTCCATTTGGTCCTCAGAGTCCCAGAGCACCAGGACTTTTAAGTATTACTTATACGTGAAACCAAGTCCCGCAATTCAGGCCAGCAAGAAAGTTACGGAACCGGAACTCTCTTCAAAATGGTCCCCCAAAACAAGGAAAGCTTCGAGCGCCGCATGATTGTGATCAAGGATGTGATCCGCGGACTCGGCCAAGAGGTTCGTAAAGGTTGACTTGGTGTCAATTACGAGCTGTGTATTTTCTCCATCCTTGATATATTTCGTCAAGCACCTAGATGTTGAAGACGGAAGAGAAGAAAAGCGTCACGTTGTGTAGTGCCGGTAATTTCTTAGTTACTAATTTGTTTTGGTAAAAAGGGCGTCGAGATTACTCCTGTGAGGTGGGCTGACGATCAAACCTTTCCTTATAACAACTTCATCTACAAGGTAGAACTGTCGTCGCCTGCTCTGGCAGAACATTTCACAGGATCAGAGCAGGCATGGCGGCGGCAGCCATGCACTGATTTGCCTCCTACAGAAGGGGTCTCTACTGTCATTGTGCGGATGAGCAATCCCAGAGCCGTGGGCTTAAACAACACAAACCGTATTGAAAACGAGGTTGCAGCAATGCATCTCGCGCGCGGTGCTATCTCACAGCTAGGTTCTAGATATGCCTCCCTCGTGCCGGCCGTCTATGCTTGGAAAGCGGCCGCTGGACCTCATCCCGTCGATGAGACGCGATTCGGATGGATCGTCATGGAGTACTTGACGGGGTCTCCCTTGCACGAGCAGTTTAAGAGTTTCGACATGGCGGAGAAGAAGTTGATAATTCCTGAAATTGCCTCCATCTTCTCGTCTATCCAGAGGGTGGAGTTGCCGCCTGGAGTCGATTGTTTTGGTGGTTTTACCATAAATAAAGAAGGAAACATTATCTCTGGCCAGGAGACGATTCAGGGAGCGCCAGGTGGTCCATGGCGCGAGTACGTTGAAGTCTGGAGGCACCAGATGCTCTGTCAGCTAAAAGAAGCCGATGCAAACGAGTTGATTCAGGGATGGCGAGTCCACGGGATCCGTGAGCGCATCGAGCAATTTCTCAATGTGACGCTACGCCGTGTGCTTCAAGATGCGGGCGTTGATATGTCCAAGCTTGGCTTTGTGCACTTTGACTTTAGTCAGTAACAATTCCACAATGCCTTCTTTTCTGAAGCGATGCGCTGACACTCACGTCACAGCTATGAGCAACATGCTCTACGACGCCGAAAAGAAGCGCATCAGTGGCATCGTCGACTTTGACTTTGCCGGCGTCAACAATCCAGCCCACGAGTTCTTCTTCACCTCGCTCCATGACGTTCACGGCACCACACGCGAGCAAAAGTCCGACAAGCTCCGACAGGCCATATTAACGGGCAACTTTGGCGCGAGCACAGACGCAGGGGAAGAAGAGCACGCCGAGGCGTGGGAGCTCGCAAAGCTATGGGACGAGGTTATGGGGGAGCGTGGCGGGCTTCGACCAAGGGATATCCGCGGGATGACGACGCTGGCGAAGCTTAACACTTTGACCGACATGCTTTTCCCGTGGCAACTGGGCAGCGTGGACATGTTGAGGCGGCAAACGAGGGAGGAGAATGTCAAAATGAGAGCGAAGGCCGAGAAGGCTATTGATGACATGCTGTCGGGATGGGGTGTCTAGATATTTCCTTGCGAGACCTTGTAGGCGTTATATCGAATCAAGAATCAGGTGACTATTGGCTGGGGTCCTTCGCTCAGTACAGCCCAAAATGTCCATTGTTGTGTGAGGAGTACGACGATGCAATTTATGCCCAGGAGGACTTGAGATGCAAGGTTCAGGCGACCGCGTCCAAGTCCGGAAGTAATTGTACAAACGCCACAGCTGTCCCCGCGTAAAAGCGGCGCTGCCCGGATCTACTAACTGACAAGGCGGCCTGGCCGATAAAACTCCAGTCAATGTGCACCTTTCCCTGCACCATTGGCTAGCGCCGACAGAGAGCATCGGCTGGCGACGCACAACCAACGAACCGACGCATCCACGACATCGGCAACAGCGAACACCGGTGCATCAAAAAGCGAGTCGAGTCACCCTGTGTCGCATCCTCCGCACACGACCATCACGAAAATAAAGAAGGAGTCATGTTTGCAGCCACTGCAAGACGACTAGCTCAGTCGGGCAAAGACTCTCTCCCCAAGCAGGTGCCCTTCACCGTGTTCAACAACCCGTACCAAGCACGCAAAGTATGGCCCCCCAACTTCAAGGAGTTGAACCACGCACAGCAACTGCGCTTTGAAAAGAAGTACAAGCGCAGAATATTCCTGGCCAGCAGGTCGCCACGGTGGGAAAAGGGCGTCAAGTTTGCGCAGCTGGCAACAATCGCAGGTGAGCCCGTGTCCCATTTTATATTTCCTCGCGCCAACGACAAAATATCGGCATTGTTGCTCACTAGTGTTTTCTAGCCGCCCTTGTCTGGCTGCTTTTTTATTCCGAGTTTGAATGGTGGGGGAAGCAATACAAGCCGTCCGAAGAGGTCTGTCAAGTTTCCAGTCCTATTTCGTTTCTTCTACGGAATATAACTGCTGACACACTTCTTAGATGCGCCGTCACGCGCGCAACCTTTTCGGAGTCATTGACCCGGAGAAGCGCTATGAGCGACGACCGGACGCTCCAGAGCCAAAGCTGTCGACGCAACAGCCCGAATCTAAACCCAAATAATGCATTCTCTTCCTGTGTTTCTATTTTCATTTCCGGCGTTTAGCATCACAATACCCTGCCCCTCCCCGCAATTTTCGGTATTACTGTAAAAAACGATCATGTACATTACCAACCTGTATCATAGCTTCATCGGCATCGTAGTCATAGCTTGAGAACCAGTCGCATCAAAATCGTCCTGATCATCGGCCAGCCCAGGCGAAATTAGCACCCATGCCCAAACCCGAACCGATCCCTGTGCTTCTCCCCTCGTTCACTGGCCGCTTGGCCACGGTACCCTGTGCTCTGACCCCCGAGACTATGCGGTCCAAGTTTGTTTCTATCACGACGCCGCCTATGATCATTTCTGACAGCGTCGCATGTAATGTTTCGAAGTTGAAGATGAGATCGAGCTCGCACACGTTCTCAAACAGCTTGTCCAGAGCCTCGACGTAAACCTGGATCAAATCGATCAAGGCGAGGGGCGACTCGGTAGAGGTGGATATTATAATAAAGTAGAGCGTCGCGTAGTTGCGGTATGTGACGAGGGACGGCACGTCATTCTGCTCCTTGGACGAGGAGTGCGAGGTGCCAGACGCAGCCAGAAGAGGCGGCAGGGGCAGGAAGTTGCAAGAGCCGTTTGGCCGGTTTGAAACCAAGGTAAAGATTTCGGATATCAGTCGCTGCTGAATGCTCGTCTCCTGTGGGACGTGCGGTCAGTAGTTGGCACCTTGATAGTTTGGCGACAGACGAGCGCGGCGTACCAACTGTGTATAGAATTTAGTCAGACGAGGCTGTCCCTGGCCGTTGAAGACCAGAAAAGCATTAATCATGGTCGCAAAAGCCAAGACTCCCAATGTCGACGAAACGATGGGAAGGCAAGTATGGCGGGACAGTTCGTCGGCCGCCCGATGCACGCAATCAAACTGGTGGGGCGGTCGAGGGACAGGCGACGCTGCCAGGAAAAGACGATGACTAAGGCGATTTCCGAGGCGTGGCACTGAGCGCTCGGGGGCCCAGCTAGCGCAACCGGGAAGAGCTCCAGATGTCCAACCACAGCTGCGGCTTGGCGTACAGCGCGGGGAGCTCATCGGCAGCATCAGATCATGCGTTGACGTGCTGAGCCGCATGCCGAATTGGCCTTTCCTCCGCTTTCTCCTCTCGAATTGACATCTGGCCATTTCGACCCTTTTCTCCCAAGGCACAGCTCAGCCATTGGAAACTTCAGATCCCGCTACCCTATCAACACTTGCGAGAATTGAATTCTCGCCGGACCCTGAATTTCGCCCCGTCTCCAAACCTTTCCTTGGTCTGGCTCGAACCACCACTCCGCGGTATCGCAAACGACCGTCAACCTACGAACCTCAACCTCAACGCCGCCCTCCCAAACATGTCACGACAAGGAGTCACGCAAACCTCAAGGCTCATGGCTCAGGCCACCTGCCGGTCAAATGTCACCCGCTCAAGCTTCAGACTGCTCCCTCGCGCCTCCAACGTCCTCCGACCTCTGTCAAACCGACTCCCCTACCAGCCCTTTTCAACATCATTTCGACGCTTCAAAGGCATTATGCCCGAGACCGACAACCCAGCCAAGCAGGGTGTTGAGGAGACCCGACCGAGTGTGGGCGTAGCCGAGCTATCTGACGGCCAATACCACGAGCTGGCCGATGGCTACCTGGATATTGTTCTGTCCAAATTCGAGCAGCTCCAGGACGCGCGAGAGGACATTGACATTGAATATTCAGTTTGTGCCTCCCCCTCTCTTCTCCCCCCCTACAAGCCCTCCAAGAACAGGCCACTAATCCGCGCTGCTTACAGTCCGGCGTCATGACCATCAATGTCGCAGACAAGGGCACATACGTCATCAACAAGCAGCCCCCGAACAAGCAGATCTGGCTATCGAGTCCGATTTCCGGCCCCAAACGATACGACTGGTGCATCATCGGCGAGGGCCAGGGGGAGAAGGAGGGCACCGGCTCAGGGAGCTGGATCTACACCCGTGACGGCGTCAGCCTAAGCGATCTGATTCTAGAAGAGCTAGATATTGTCATCGAGGAGCCCGCCACCTGCTAGCCAGCCCAGGCCCCGTCAGCCATGGATATTCTTTTGCCACGCATAACCTTGTATTATTGCTTTATTAGCTCCATCAGTCGAATGTATCATAAAAACAAAAATCCCTTTGCCATCCTAGTCCCCGCCCTCATAAACCCGCTGAATACCCGTGCCCACCACCCAAAACTTGCAAGTAAAGCATCCGCAAACGCCCATAATAAATACAGCCAACCCAACCCAACTCTTCACCGCAGACAAAGGCCCATGGTCCTATTCAACATGGCAACAGTCATGTCGTAGTGCTGAAACGCCGCCCCCCTATCCCTCTTCATGTCGTCCCTACACCCGTCAGCCTCGCGATCCCACCGCACACCGCACACCGCACAAAAATACTCACCTCTGCGCCGTCCCGGCCAAGCTCTTCCTCCAGCTCCTCGTCTCCGCGTCCCTCTGGCCCCTCACCCGCAGCAGATTCTTCAGAATCGCGTGCTCCAGCCCCCTCTCCCTGCCCGCCGCCTCCAGGAACCAGGTGGTGCGCTTCACGCCCTCGGCGTCCAGCGCCGCTGGCGTCTCCCTAAACGCGGCCCGCAGCTGGTCGCGCGCGATGTACCGCGCCGGCGACGAGTACTGCACCGCGCGCAGCAGGCAGCGGTATAGATGCCGGTAGGCGTGGACGACTTCGGTCCCCATGGTTTCGTGGTCGGTGTCCTTGGTGGCCCCGGAGTTGGAAGAGGTTGTTGTACAGTGTTAATTGTATCTTGATAGCCGACGTCTGGCTTGTGCACATGTGGGATGGGCCGTGCGGAGAGGTACTTCCTGGGCACTACTGGCTTGCTTGCTTCTCAGCCAAGCTACCAGACCATGAGCAAATTGTACACAGAAAAGCGACTGAATCCAGTCGCGAGGCAGCTTGAACTACAACCACTCTCTGGAAATGATCCCTCAGAGTCAGCACTTCCATCGAGTCGGGCTTTTTTCATCATTGCAATTTTTGAAAGGTTGCAGGCGTGGGCTCCTGTACAGACGACGCAAGCAACGAATGGCCAAGACCACCACTCACTTATTTTACAAGCATTTTGAATTGGTCTGGAGGACAAGACTGGGTTGACCGCAAATGCCGGTTCAAAAGTCCATATACAAATTGGGTTTCTTTTCACTGGTAGGTATCTATTATTTCTGTTCAAGTTCCCGCGCTCTCAGCACGCGCCTGGGTGCGCGGCCGTGAGGCGCCAATGTTCCGTCTTAACTGGTACATGGAAGCATCGCTCGTCTTAGCGACGCGCAGGTGATAGTGTAAAACGCCAACTGTTGTCAATGCCTCGTCATATACACGCCTTTACTGGCGGTCCCAGATCGTACACCCAACGCCAATTGACAGCGTCCAAAAATCTAGGTATAACCTGGGCTCCTAGTGAATCGTCATATTCCAACAAGGACGCTGTATGCTAGTTCACACATCCCCCTACCTGTCCGGTCTATCTATGCAAAAATTCTAACTGCGAAAAGGTATGCTTGCTTTTGCTTCACTCATCATTGCGCCGGCTCTCCTCTTGACCCAAGGGAGCATATCGACCTTGGGTGCTGCGGACGCTCGGCGATCTGCCGCGAGCCACCACTCTAGAGAGCCAGCCACCGATGCTTCGGTCCTCACCTCCATTGGTCTGGATTTGTGATTTGCGGTCGTCGTCTATGTCTGCGGCAGCATCAAGCGACATTCCGGGAAAGTCTCTGGACGGCCCGGGCGAGCCACCACGTATGAGGGATTCGGTGTCGGCATGCATGGATGGTGTACCCATGACGGTGCTTGCATCGCCAAAAATGGAGTCCATTTCCTCGAGACGCACGCCACAAGTCTCGGGGTAGACGAAATACACTGCGTAGCTGGTCAGCAATGCCGTGAAAACTTGGCGAATAGTTGCACTCACCAATCACGAAGG